GTTTGCACATGAGCTCCCACCTTCGCCACCTGATACCTCTTTGTTCAAATTTTGTTCATTTCCACCAGAACCCATTCATAAGCATTTCGATCTCATCACATAAATCTCGGGGTAATAGAAAGACATTCATGGTGTAAGTGGGATATCTTGCACCACATTCCATAACAACACAGTCCTGCCTGACTGGGATAAAAACCTATTATTCTAGCTTTCAATACGATTAAATATTCTCTCTCGAATGAAGCCAAGAATGGCTGATTTTCCTCTCCCTACTAGGCTCGTAATCCCAGATATTTCTGCTATCTCCCCTCATGCGACACTCCAAAAATTAATGTTACGGTGGACTTGGAAAAATTAATCGCCTACCCAAAGGTTTCCTCATACTCATGCAAAATCTCCTTAATAGCATTACATTCACGACCCGAAACTTTAAACAAAAAGTTATCATCAACAAAAAATAAATGGGACACCCGTGGAGCTCCCTTACAGACCGCCACTCCGTGGATGTCTCCCCTCTGCTCCGCCTTTCTAATTAAAGTATTCAACCCTTCGGGAACTAGGAAAAATGAATAAGGTTAATTAATTAATTAATTATATTAGGGTTAAAAATAGAATGATTAGTCCAATTTAGGAAAAATCAAATAAAAAGTCCTAAGTTTTGAAGAAGCCTATGTTTTAGTGCAACCCCAACACATAGCAAAATGATTAAAACTGCATCTTCACCGAGCCAAATTTTGGAGACGATATATGGAGCAAAATGTAAATCTGTAAAATTATATTTAAAATATATTTTATTAATAAAATAAAGAAAAAAGTATATTAAAAAATAGTTAAAATGGTTTTTTACAGTAACTTCAGCCAATACAACCAGAAAAGTAACTCCAACCTTACTTTTTTTATTACTCCGTATGACACAATTCGGCATGCGAAATCAAAAGTTACGTGTTCGATCGGTGAAAAAGGAAGGTGATAAGCCGGATAAACCGAAAAACAATGTTACCAAACGAGCTATAAATAAGTGATTTTCCATTTTTTTTAAAGAAAAAAAATCATTTTATCCCGTGCACGACACACGTAAAGATACTAGTGTAATATATATCACTTCCAAATAAGCGATGAGAGTAGTTCTAGAAATCATGAGTGAACTATTTCATCTTTAACAGCGTCACTTTTATGTACATATTTCTTTTTGCAAGTTTTATGTACATTAGTTTATATCATGGAAAAGGTCATAAATAATAATATGTCCAACCAACTAATATTAGTAATATGTATTGGTATTATCTCAAAAATATGGTCTCCTAGTCTCATAGATGCCATCTCCGAAGTTTGAATCACAATCTATCAATCTATCTTGTAAAAGCAGAGGCGAAGTAGTTAAAAATGGGAGGAAAATGGGAGTGAGCCGTGAGTGTATGAGAAGCAGGCATCAAAATGCGGCTAATTATATAGAAGCTATTGATCTTTTTGTTGTCCCACACCGTTTCCTTATGAGGTAGAGACGGTTCTGTGATGTTATAAATAAAGCGGGCTGATAGCTTTGGTTCTCATACCTTTCTCGGCCTTTTGGCTAAGATCAAGTGTAGTATCTGTTCTTATCAGTTTAATATCTGATATGTGGGCTATTAGCCCACACGATATTAACTCAATTTTTTAAGGGGGAAAGTCCACTAAGGCAGCTTGCTGTCTGGGCTTTCTAGAGTCGCTTGAGCGTTGCACTATTGCTCAGGCTTGGCTCACCCCACCAAGCCCAGTTAAATTTTGGATAGGTTGTCTTTGGTTGATATTAAATCACGAGATCGCTACAATTACAGTAGGTAATTGTACTGAATTACTGAAAAACTGGTTGTCTTTGATTGTGCTGAATTACTGAAAAACTGGTTGCCTTTCTGACGTCTGTCCATAAACAATACGCAAAAACAAGTGTAATACTCAAGCATTTGGTGTACAAGTGCACAAACACATAAGAGCAAAAATACATTTAAACAGGAGCAAAGGTGATTAGGTAACTAAAAGCGGGCATAAGTATCTGATTTCTAACTCTTGTATTGCTCAAAAAGTCTCTAAAAGCTTCAAGTTATATGTTTGGCATGACAACTTTTAAGAACTTTTCAAAAATTAAAAGTTCTTTTTTGAGATGCTACAGGGAGTAGCATCTGAAAAAATCCCGTGACTTTTAGTATTAACTAGCCCTAACAGTTTGTATATCAAATCGAACTAAATCAAAGAGTCAGCTTTTTACTAAACAACTACCGTCTTTTCTTTTTAAGATCTTTTCAGTCACTAAAGCAAAAATACCCTTAATCTATTTAAGCAAACAATTGTTAAAAAGCTCACAAAGATATCTTTTCAGCTAGTTGTACCAAACATACCCTCAATCTATTTAAGCAAAGTAAGCAAGAAATTTGCATCACAATAATATTGTTACATAGTACACACGGCGCCAATGTGACTTTCTTCCAAAAAAAATTAAATAAAAATGGCATTTATACAGGTTCATTTGAACCTTGAGCAGTTTGCAAATATGCCTTTTTTGAATACAAATAAATGCACATGTACTACGTACGTTAACGCCAAACATTGTTGAAAAGCAAATGATGTGGAGTAGTGTTAAAGAATTAACTATTCCATGTACACTTAAGAGACTTAATTTTTCAACGAAAAAGAAACTTCACCACATAATAGAGGGTGAATTTCATTTTTATTATTATTGATCCTGCACCTCAAGGTGTTATACTACGTATTATGAACTAAATCATATACTCATAATATAAAATGACAATAATAATAAAATCACGTGCACATAATTTTATCTAGAAAAGTTATATCCAAGCCGCTAATTAGTTAAACATTTTTTAAGCTATCGGCTAATCTAATCAACCAGTCATAACATCAAATCAATCTGCTAGTCAAGTAGATAACACAATTTGCTAATTACTCACCGTTATTTACCAAACAAGTCCTTAACTTTCTTCTTATCCACCACATATACTCAGTATGTTTTTACTTAGACTGTTTTCAGCCCCAAACTAGACCATATCAGACTCAAACATATCAGATCAAACCCGACCAGACCAAATCAATTTAGACCGATCAGACCAGACCTGACTTAAATAGATCGGATCATATCAGTCAAACAAATTTCAGTCCAAGTAAAAACATACTTGCTCCGTAATAAATTTGGGAAATATTTCTTCCCCTTTTTCGTAGTTAATTAATTTGAGTTTTTTTCCGTATTAATGCTAATTAATTAAGTATTTACGAAAATAGGGTCGGGTTAAAAGTATTTACGGATATACTGCTGGGCCTTAACCCTGGTCGGGGGAAAGTCGCCAAACCGTTTGGCGACTTATAAGTCGCCCAACCGTTTGGCGACTTATAAGTCGCCCAACGGTTTGGCGACTTACCCATAAATTAATTAAAATACCGGGTTAAACAAAAAAAAAAAAAGAAGGGCAAAATTGTCTTTTGAAACCCGTTGAATTTTACGACTATCGTGTCCGCAGGTCGCCCGCGCAGGGGGGTGCGAATTTTCGATTCTGAACTGAAAGCGGGAATTCTTGTGTGCGCGAGAGCTCCCCTATTCTCCTTCACCTTTTAATTCTAAGAGAGGAGTGGTTCATATTTATAGGCTTCAAACTTCTCAAGGAGTTTAGGTGTGGGAAAGTTAAAGAAGCTCACTTTCCACCTTTGCTTAAAAGTGTACACTTTTCCATCTTTCTTTTTCAAGAGCAAATTTGAGCCACTTCAAACTTTAAAGTCTAAAACTCCAACACCAAAGATCAACACTACAATCAAAGCTTCCAAGAATCAACATTGAGATTTAAAAAAAAAATCAAGGTAGATGGTACCTTGATTTTGGACCTTGAAATGTAGCTTGGTTGTTTCCTATCAAGGTCCAAGATAGTATTGTTACATTACGATCATGGAACGCAAACCACAGGAGTATAAATAGATTAAGGAACCACAACTACACTCTTATTCAGGGCTAAGAGGGCGGGCAACTTGTAAGAAAGTGCATGGAAATACGAAGTATAAAAGCAGCAACCGTGAAATTTTAACACAAAACTGCCCCATTTTGGTGCTGATCAAACATAAGAAGGTTTCTGCAAATCATTTGAGATGCAACGCTGAACTGCTATCTTGATGGTACCTTGATTTTGGACCTTGAAATGTAGCTTGGTTGTTTCCTATCAAATTCCAAAAATCAACATGAAAGGAAGTAGATGATAGGAAACAATACTATCTTGGACCTTGAAATGTAGCTTGGAGTTTGAGAAAAATAGTCTTAACCTTGATTTTTTTTTTTAAATCTCAATGTTGACTCTTGGAAGGTTTGATTGTAGTGTTGACCATTGGTGTTGGAGTTTTGGACTTTGAAGTTTGAAGTGGCTCAAATTTGCTCTTGAAAAAGAAAGATGGAAAAGTGTACACTTTTAAGCAAAGGTGGAAAGTGAGTTTCTTTAATTTTCCCACACCTAAACTCCTTGAGAAGTTTCAAGCCTATAAATATGAACCACTCCTTTCTTAGAATTAAAAGGTGAAGGAGAATAGGGGAGCTCTCGCGCACACAAAAATTCCGGCTTTCAGTTCAGAATCGAAAATTCGCACCCCCCCTGCGCGGGCGACCTGCGGACACGATAGTCGTAAAATTCAACGGGTTTCAAAAGACAATTTTGCCCTTCTTTTTTTTTTTGTTTAACCCGGTATTTTAATTAATTCGCCAAACGGTTTGGCGACTTTCCCCCAACCAGGGTTAAGGCCCAGCAGTATATCCGTAAATACTTTTAACCCGACCCTATTTTCGTAAATACTTAATTAATTAGCATTAATACGGAAAAAAACTCAATTAATTTGGAAATAGGGGCATCCTCGATAAATTTGCTATATCAGATTTCAGATTTTTTTATTACCCGGTTATTATTTTACTGCATTTTCCGCGTTTTTACTTTTTTATCGGACGGCCCTCGATGAGATAACCGTCGCTCGAATTGTGGCAGGGTCTAAACCGACGTCGTCAAGCACGGCAGCAAATCAGTCGGTACAAACAAATTAACGAATATTCAGTAGGGTTAGGCGGTTAGCGGTTGGGGACTTGGCGAGCACGAGCACGAGCCCACTGGTTATTCAGTCGGCGTCGCTTAGTCTACTGTCCACTAGGCCTGTAAGTTACTTTTTCATTTTGTTATTCATTGCTTGAACTTGTTTACTTGTTTCATCGTTTTAGTTGTTTAATTACAGCTTTTGTAGAGTTTTAGTTGCTTACTGGTCTTTAACTTGTTTGACTATTTAAGAATGGCTGAATTGTGTTTTTTTAAAATTTAAATGTTACAAATTATGGATTCTTGCGTACTTATGACACCCCCTCCATAAGCCCCTCCCTACTTAAACATCAAGGCGAAAGGGCAAACTTGAATGAATGTCTTCCTGGGTGTGATTAAAACAATTAATGTTAAGTTTAAATTAGATTACCTCTTTTTCCCAGCAATAAAACAGTTGTTTCCTATAATAGGTTTAGTGCAATGCACTCAACTCATATTACAAATTCCGTACATTAGCTTCTCGATTTTAAAAAGGCATCCTTTTTTTAAGATACCTAAATTATGCATAATAGTAAACAATTGCTTTTTTTTTATCCGACAAGACGACAATTAAATTTATTCTTCCAGAGTATAAGATATATGAAGTATATTTAAGCATAATACAAAGTTTGATGCTTTTTTAATCCCAGGTTAATGTGCAAAACTTATATATCATGAGGAGTTTAGCACAGTAAACCCAGAGTAGATTAGGACATATCTTGAGATATAAAGCTGGTGTTATTAGCCAAGCGAATGCATATGAACTTATGAAGTATGAACGGAGAAATGACACTACTCTCTTTATCTTTTTGTTGTGGACCTCTTTTGGGCAGCACTATTTAAAAATTCCAGGAATCCTGGTTGGGGAATATCAGGAGCCCCAATTGCAACTAGACATCAAGCATGGGCATCCCCCAATTCATTCCAGCAAGTAAGCTTTATCGGCATAATAAGCTTTCGTGGATTATTATCAAGCACTTATCATCAACATCACACAATAATACTAAACTCACAAAAATTGTACACCCCACAAGCTCCCATCTTTCAATCACTAGCAAGGCTCTCTTGGAATATGTGGTTTCTTCTCAATGGCAATTCATCGAACAGGTTTTGCCCCATATCACGCCCTCCTTGGTCTCGTCTACCCTTTTCGATCTCCGCTCATCCCCGGACCACATTTTCCAGTTCATGCAAAAGCTCACCTCCGATTGTCTCGACATCAACTGTTATTGCCTCGCCATCTCAATACTTTCTCGCCTTCCATCCCCTCGTCATGCACTGCAGCTCCTCAAGCAAGCAGTCAGTTCTCGTATTGCGACTCAAGGAGAGATTTTTCATGGGCTGATGAGTGCTCGAGAGAAACTGCAGTTGAAGAGTACAATATCATTGGATTTTCTTGTACAGGCACTTTGTGAGTTGAAGAGGTGTGACGAGGCGTTGAAGTGCTTTTACTTGATCACAGAGAAGGGAATTTTGCCAAATGTTGTGACTTGTAATGCATTATTGAGTTCATTGCTCAAGTGTAATAGGATGGAATCAGCTTGGGACGTGTTCGGCCAGATGTATAGGTTGGGGATTAGTCCAAATCGCTACACATTTAATATAATGATCAATGTACTGTGTAAAGAAGGGAAATTGATGAAGGCCAGACAGTTTGCTGAACAGATGGATGGATTAGGGTTCAAGCCAGACATCATTACGTATAATACTTTAATACATGGGCATTGTTTCAGGGGTGATCTCAAAGGAGCAAGTGAACTTATGGAGGCAATGAGGGATAAAGGGGTTAAACCAGATGCATACACTTACAACTCTCTTATCAGTGGGTTGACAAAAGAGGGTAAATTTGAGAAGGCTTCTGATATCATCAAGAAAATGGATGAATATGGCTTTGTCCAGACAGCTGTGACTTACAATACTATAATTAGTATGTACTGTAATAATGGGGATCTAGAAAGGGCATTTTCTACCAAGGATGATATGGTCAAGAGGGGGATAATTCCCACTGTAACCACCTATAATATGTTGATTCAAGGTTTGATTCTGGAAGGGAGGGTGACAGAAGGTAAAAATTTAATGAAAGAAATGAGACAAAAAGGGATGGTTCCTGACGTTATTACGTATAACACATTGATGAATGGCCATTCCAGGGCAGGGAAGGCAAAAGAGGCTCTAAGTCTCCATGATGAAATGTTGACCACAGGTATTGAGCCTACACTTATTACTTACACTTCACTTGTTTATGTACTGGGCAAGAGGAACAGAATGAGTGAGGCAGATGACTTGTTTGCAAAAATGATACAGAGAGGAATTCTCCCAGACCTTATAATGTTTAATACATTAATTGACGGCCATTGTTCTAATGGAAATATCGAGCGTGCAATTTTGATTTTAAAGGAGATGGATAGGATGACGGTTAGTCCAGATGAGGTCACCTACAACACTTTAATGCATAGGTATTGTAGGGAAGGTAAAGTTGAAGAAGCATGTAAACTTTTGGATGAGATGAAGAAGCGAGGCATCAAACCAGACGTCATTAGCTATAATACACTAATCAGTGGGTATTGTCGAAAAGGTGACATGGAGGATGCTTTTAGAGTTAGAGATGTGATGCTTAGTCTGGGATTTAGCCCAACCCTCTTGACCTACAATGCCCTTATACAGGGGTTGTGTAAAACCAAGCAAGGTGAGGCCGCGGAGGAACTTCTCAAAGAAATGGTTAGCAAAGGCATTAAGCCCAATGACGACACATATCTTTTTTTAATTGAAGGAATTGGGGATGTTGATTCTTTCTTGGGGAAAGAAAACCCATCAGATAATCGTATGATACAAACAGCAAACATCTAATGTGGGAATGCCAAAGCCTCTATAGGTATTGCCTTAACATAATCTCAATTTTGACTATCTCAAGTCTCAAGATGCTTCACTTTTACTGGGAGTTCAAGTTCAGATTATCTTGATCTTACATATATCTATTTGACAAGGTTTCTTATAGGCAGTGCAGCGAACTCCAACATTCTTCAAGCACCAGAGGGAATACTCATGATGGTACTTTTTGTTTTGAGAAAACTAGAAAAGCCATTTGGTAGTGGTAAGAGATCTCTTCTAGAAAATACATGTTACAATTATGTGCTCCTTTAGCAGGTTCATTTGGCTTTACCATGTTGAACTGATGGCAATTATTTCATGCTATTATAATGTATAATTGGGGCCCAAATCTTTATTTAATTGAATGCTGAATATTGCATATAGCATTTATCTGGGCATAAACTGGATCAGTTGAACTTGGAATATTTTCCTGCCCTCCTGTACTTCTCTTTCTTAAAATTTTAAATCTTTTTTGACAAAAGTTTTAAAACTTTAATCAAGTGCTGTTTGTTATCTAGTGCAGCTTGGCTAAATGTAGTTGATAAAGGGTGGCTTAGATGTTGTTTGATAAGACATAAGTACATATAATATAAGGGCGTTCAAAAGCTCGCTTAAGCATCAAAGCGCAAGCAAGCGACGCAAGTGAGCTTAGCTTTTACAAAGTGATGAAGAGTGACAGAGCTGAGATTTTTCGTCGTTTATTTCACAGGTCGCTTATGTGAAAAGCACTCGCTTTTCTATGCTTCTCACAAAAAGCATTGAATTCACCCAGCCAACTAGTATTAGGTCTGTTTTCTATTACAAACAATATATCAAAACTCATAACTTTTTACTCCGTATTACCTTTCTAATGACACCAATATTTCATATATAAAGTTTAATTTTTTTCTTTGAAGTTTTAACAGTAGAAAGTTTTCAGACCCAATTTTTTTTCTTAAATAGATTTAAGTGCTAAAATTAAGATCTCATTGTTTACATAACTTTTTCACATGCTTCAATTATTTTAAAAAAGGTTATAATTTTATCATTCAGATCTATCTAAGAAAAATTTTGAATCTGAAAACCTCATACTGTTGAAATTTCAATTTAAACAAAAAACTTTACATATGGAGTATTGGTGTCGTTAGAAAGATCATAAAAAGTTATGAATTTTGATATAATTTTTATAAAAATTAGAGTACAAATAAAAAAGTTACACCACTTGATAGAAAAGTGAGATTTTAAATTAGCCTTACCCCTTACACCTCTCCCCCCTCCTCCTCCCCACCCGGGCACTATCCATCTTCCGATTCAGAATTGGGGTTCCGAATCCCGTAAATTCATCTAAGGGGGAGCAAAGTCCCGTTTTTTGGAATGGCACTCACAAAACACGCGTGGTTTTAGAATTTCCTCTCCTTTTGATCTATGAAAACATCCAAGTGCTGTAAAAACTTGTTCTGATTTTCTAATATGATGTTAAAATTGACATCTTTACTTTATTGAAATGTCTAAAGATTGGAACTCTGGTAAAAGACTAACGCCCCGAAGATTGTGCAGTTTACAGTGGTTACTCGTACTCTTAATCTTATGACTTGAGCGGGTGTGTTAACAATCATGAGTCATGACTGGTTCTGTTTGGGATTTAGTAGAGACAGATGAACTTTCTGTTAGTCGGTATATATAATACCTCAATTATTTTTAGTAAATAAAATTTACATTTTCAGAAATCCTCTATACTTAATAGGAATACAAATTCATGTTGACCATTCATATAAAATTGAACTGGACCATTCATTTCATTTCCTTCCTCTTCCTTCTGATCTTTTTTTTGAACGATTCCTTCCGATCTTCTTTCAACCGAACTTTTCCCTTCCATCGCAATCTTCTCCACCCTTCTCTGCTCCGTCGCTGTAAACCATCGATCTTCATTTCCTTTCTCTTTCTTTCCATCTTCTTTCCATCGAACTTTTCCCTTCCGTCACTGCGAAGTGTTTTCCATTATTCGTTACTTCCATTGCTGCAAGGGGCTCAAGGAATCACCTTCTCTGAGGTCTTCATGCCCTAGAAGTAGATATTTTCCGTAATGAAACATGGCTCCACATTCGCTGGCGCCACCAACACGTTCAACCAATTCACTATTTATCTCAAATCCCCCCATTTCCGTCCAAAGGTAATTATATGAATTGGTATTAGTTGAAAAATCATAGTTATAAAATCTGTATTTGTATCTAAGATTATAAGTAGTGAAAAGTGCAGTTTTTAGTACAAAACATGTTGCAATTTCAGTCGGAAAAACTGATCATATCAAATGTTTGTTTGCCTTTTTCTTCTGCATAAACTGTGCTTTCTTTCCAAAATATGATTTGAGTAATAGCAAGAAGTGAAAAAATATCCATTTTAAGTTAGTCCTTCAATTAGAATAATGGAATATAACCAAAAGTTTAGTTCAAGGAGTAAAATTACAGACCTGTACAGTTTAATTTAGTGCATATACATGTTCTTTTAGTCAAAAAGTGAAGTTCTTTCTCTTAATAAAATGCACTTTTTGTATTATATAACATGTTGAACATTGTGAGTTAAATGAAAAAAAATATTAATCTTTTTGGGTTGTGATTTTAGGACACTAATATTACAATTTTGCTATATACATCGTACTAATAGGACTGCTGTCTTTACAAGATACAATTAGAGTATTATAATAGCAAGAAGTGAAAAAATCTCCATTTTTTATTTAGTCCTTCAATGAGAATAATGGATTTTAACCAAAAGTTTAGTTCAAGGAGTAAAATTACAGATCTGTACAGTTTAGTTTAGTGCATATACAAGTTCTTTTACTCTAAATGTGGAGTTCTTTCTCTTAATAAGCATCCTTTCGTGTTTTTGTTAATGATTATATACATACATGTACAACAATCTCTATAGACAAGGCCTGTATACTGTCAGCTTGATCTTATATTTGGATCTTCCCCGTCTTCTTCATCAAAGCCGTAAGATTTCACTTTCTGTCTTCCACCATCACCAAACAGTTATGGTCAAACTAGATTTGCTAGGGTTGTTAAAAACACTAACATGGTTTCTGCTAAAAAGCCTATGCAATGTGATTTGTGCCATTGATCATTTCTGTGAGAAATAATGCAAGAAGTCACGCGTGAGAAATTATAAATCAGATTACATTGGTTCCTGGTTCACGAGATTGAGTTGAATTTTTTTTATCTTTCATGATTAGGATACATGATATTGTTATGTTTTCATGGCTCCCACCAGAATTAAGTTAAAGTAGATGTTTCAAATTTCAATTTGTTCTTTGAGCTTATAAATGAGCTGCTGCATGTCTTATTAATTAATAGTAGATCTTTTATTTTTCTCAGGATCTTTAAAGTGCTTTCAATCACTATCTTTACGAGGGGTTTAAACGTCTACTCGAATAATGCAATCAGGCAGGTTTTCGCTTTGAATGAAAATTGCAGACATGTGAGAAATTGTTAAACTAGCAGACATATTCTCCTGGAACTTGAAAGCCTAACAAATGCCAGTTAGTTTCTTGATTAATATAAAATCTAATTCTTGATTATTTGACTCATGAGAGATAAATAACTTGATTTCACTTCGTACTGTTTAATAGATCGTTATTTTTCAACCCGAGTTGTGTTAATGAATTTTCTTGGATGCTAGATATTTTTCCATGTATTCTAATGAACTTTTGGCACCTTGTGTGCTAATTATATACTACAGTGGAGGAATCAGTAGCGATGGATGCACTAAAGAATCCAAACAAATCCACTAAGCAGTTGCACCTTGCGCAACATTTTCTTCCAAATGTCACATGACAGGTGAATTTATTATTTGCTAACTTAGTCTTACACTCTTTTACTTAATGAGATGACTTTTCTTTATTAGTTTTTTTAGTCTCTCTTTGTGCGATTTCCATACAACCCATTGTTGATACGTGTATTCATATGCTAATGGTTTTCTATTTGTTTGTTTCAAAGCTCTAAATCTGAATTTCATTCAGTTTTTATCCAAAATCCTATGTTAAAAGTTTTATTTGAAGTGAATGATTGGTATTAGGTTATTCCAATGTTCTACTGTGATTCTGTGAATAGAGATGAATAGGTGTAGGTTGCATTATAGATTAACCAGCCACATTTATTGGGCCAATATGTCGACTGTTAAGTGTTAAAAAAAACCACATGTTGTCGTTGAGGAACTAAGCTTTTTCCTCGACCAGATGGAGAGAAGATCCACCGTGGGAAGAACTAGAGAGTAGAGACGTATAAATGTGACTGATGATTTGGTGTTAATTTTTAAATCAATTTTCTAATTTTCCTTTGGGCTAATTTTTTTTTTCTTTCTATTTCTTAAGTTTCATATGCTGGTGTTTTACATATTTTGGTAATGTTTTATCATTTAAAAGGCTGAACTATTTAAAAAGACACAAGTTACTATTGGTTAGATGATTACCTGCCACTTTAGTCATGGTGCCACAAAATATGATTTAAGTTTAGGTAGAAAGAGCTAGATACATACTTCCTCCGTATTTTAAAGTTGGGAAAGTTCTCAAAATAGGACTAAAACAGTTTGAAAATTCCAAAATAGGACTGTCATGTTTTTTATTCCCAAAATAGGAGTAATTACTGTCAAGTTTGGAAAATACTGCCATGTTTGAAGTCTGGTACTGCCAAAACATGACAGTAATTAGTCCTATTTTGGGAATAAAAACATGGCAGTCCTATTTTGGAATTTTCAAACCTTTTTAGTCCTATTTCGGGTAATATCTCTTTAAAGTTCCATACACTTTCTATTTTGGGATGTATTTAAAAGTTCCATATATTTTTCCTTTTTGGTAATTTTTTCCTTTAAAAATACTCAATTACCCTTACTTTTTTCTACTTTTTGTCCTCTCTTTCCTACTTTTTCACCTTCTCTCTTACTTTTTCTATACTATTCATTACTCATACTATTCTCCTTCTATTACCCCAACTATTCTCCCTCTATTACCCCTACTATTACCCCTATTACTCCTACTTAAACCTAACGTATGGATCTTTTAAATAAGGAGGGAGTATGAAAGTGACCGTTAGGTTGGTGTTAATATATTTTAGAGAAAACTATCAAATAAGCCCTCCTACTATGGCAGATTCATCAATTAAGCCCTCGTACGCCCAAATCACCCAATTAAGTCCACGAAGTTTCAAAAAACACCCAATTCCGCTTATTAAGCAGTAAACACCCGGTTATCCCGTTGCTCGCTGACCTGGTCTGACACGGCGTTCGCATGGCATGACACGATGCACACGTGGCAGCCCACGTCAAACCCCCCTTCCCCTCTTCTTTTTATTTTCTTTTTTCTTTCCTCGTTCCCTTCCGTCTCTCTTTCTTCCTCTTGTCAAAGACCTTGTTAGAATATGGCAGCTTCTTCCCACCGATAAAAATGTTAGATTTGAAATTGAAATCTTGTAATACCTATTAAACAATCTACCAATGTCACCTCTCTACATCCCATTGACATTTAGATTAAGTATCTCAAGCTTCTATGGCCATTAATGGAGGTTGAAGCTGCTGCGGGTCAAGAAACAAAACCGGCGAAGGTAACAAGAAAACTTCGGTTAAAAGAAGTACCCACACTTTAATCTACTGGCTACGATTCTACCATTTATTAATTTAGTTTTCAAGTATGTAAATCTAAAGATCCATACTTATTACTTGGGGGAAAAATTACATATCTGGATTCCGGATCTCCATTAATGGAGTCTCCATCTCACCAAACTACCTCAACTGGTCCAATATAGATGAAGAAGACTCCCGTCTTTCTTTTCCATCATTGCCATCACCGTTTTCCTCCAACTCGACCAACTTCTTAATTATGCCGCTGATCTCGAAGGTCAATGACCATGGCGAGTTGGCGGCCAATCGGTTATCCTGTTCACTGAAGAGCTGAGTTGACTCTTCTACTTCCGCCATCATCACCATTATCCTCCATTCAGCTTCAGCCTTCGCCGCCAGCATCTTCTACTTCAACCTCCTATCCCAACATTTCTTGCACCAACGTGACTTGGACGAAGAGATGAAAGGGAAGGGTACAGAAGATTGGTACACGTCATATTTAGAAAAGAAAGGTGGGTTGAATTAATTTTTTTCCAAAAAACATAAAAAATGAAAAACTTGCCACATAGACATTCACTTAAACTTTTGACTGGGAAATCGGGAGGTGACCTACTAAACGGCTGAATTGAGCATTTTTTATAACTTCATGGACTTAATTGGGTGATTTTGAAGTACGGGGACTTGATTGACTTTTTGGATATAGTAGGAGAGCTTATTTGATAGTTTTCTCAATATTTTATTTTTACACTGTTTTACCAAATTTTGCTTTGGGCAGGAAATTTGTAATTCTCATGTATCCTAAAGTTAGCTAATGAGCTATGGTTGGATATTTGATTAATAGTAAGATGCTACTACTGCTAAATTGCTCAAATAATGGATGCAAGGTATATTTATGCTTGGATAGATCTTTTTCTATTGTTTCATATGCTGATGTTACCTTGCAAACTATTTGATAGGAATATGCAATGCAACCTTGCAATCTGTTTGATGCACATGAACAAGATTGGAGGAGCTAAGTTTATGCAACAATTATTGGACATTAGACCAGAAACAATTATTGGACATTAGACCAAATGATTGTGTAAGATCAAGAACCATATTACTTAAGGTAATAATCACATTTTCTAAGATCTCTTGGTAGATGGATCTATACTAATGAAAAACTAATGTAGCTAATCTAATTATTGTAACTTGAATTTGGAAATTGATTTTTAAGGGCTTGCGATGTTACACTTTGTTGTAAATGAGATGTCATTTTCTTTAGCTTGAAGAATCCAAATGAAGAAATATGTTAAAAGTCAAAGAAGCAAAAGAATTGCAGGAAAGGGATAAATCAGATGGTCACTATTAGTGATGGACATAGAGTCAAAGATTAGATCGACAATGTTAGCATTGATGACGAAAAACAAGATGTAGAAGAATGGACTTTTTTATCTCAATACAATATATACATGAGTATGGTATTATAGAATTCTCAACACCGTTTAAATCTTTAAAAGTTTTGAAACTAAAGATGGTTTGGGTAATTTGATTTGGTTTTTATACTCTAACTTACTAACAGTTAAGAGTATTTGGTTTACTTTTTATATCTCATTGCTCTAAATAAAGAAATGCGATAGCCAATTAGATTGCACATAATTATTGGTTCTAACCTTTTGACATTAATTTTTTGTGTTAGGTAATTTATTTGTGTCGTATTCAACGTTCTAAAGAGCGATTAAGGGGTCAAATTTTGTACACTTTGAACTTTAGTTTACTTTTAATTACACTTGAAGTCTTTCTTGATTTCATACATCTTTTTTTTTAAATGTACTAGTATTCTACCCGTGCGTTGCACGGAGTAAAATTTATGATATTAGTAGTATGTTGTTTATCACAATGCATTAACAAATAAATAATTATAGTAGTGGTATATATATTGTTTAGGATAATATAGATATTACGAAATAGATAAATTCATGTAACAATGGTAACAATGTAGTGCACACATAAAAGTAACGATGGGTATAATGACATGAGACAAAAGGAATAAATTTGAGAAAATATAGTCACCAAATACACTTTAATTTATAACTTCCAAATGAAGTCCTAAAAAAACTTCCAAATGAAGTTATTATCAAACAAATAGAGAAAATTAATTAGATACATGTAAAGTATACTACGTAGTACATTTTCATCCTCATATGAAAGTAGCATCGTTATTTTCATTTCCAAATGAAGGTGAAATATAGTACATTTTCATTGCCATTTTTATTTTCCCAAAAAATCTATCACTTTCTTTAACTAATATGCATTTATTATTTTTTTCGCAAAAACTTCAAAGACACATTTTTACTATCTTATTTCACATTATATTCAGACATTTCAAACTTTAACGGACGAAATATATATAATGAAATGATGAATATTTTTTACCTTTAAAGATGGGAATTGGAACTTGTACGAAGTATATAAAGAATAATAAACTGGCAATTTGTAGCAAAATAGGTACGGCAATATAGTTTCAATGTCCATCTCTTGCTCATCATGATTCATGACATCCTTCCTTACTCATATCTATGTAGATGCCGATACACGACTTTTATGACTTTTTTAAGGAATTAAATGGTTTTTGTTCCCAAAAAACAGGTATGAAAGCCATTATGTGGTCCATTTCTTTTGAAGACGTCCTTAATACCCTGTGAAACTATTTTAGAAGTATTTGCCCAACTTGATGAAAAACACACAGTGACAGACCCCTAAACTTGCAATTTATTTTTTGATCGGATAAGCGATGTTAGCCGAGCAATCCTAGCACGCTACCAAATTCAGACAGGCTCTACTTTCACAACATACATTCCAAGTGGTTAATATAATAGATTTATTCAAATAAATCCATTATGACAATATTTCAGTTATTGATTGCATGTATCCTCACCTTAAATTTCTGCATCCAAAATAATTTAGCTCTTGAAGCTATGCTTAACTGTGAAAATTTATACTGTATCAACTTTGTAAGAGATACGTAGTATATTGAATTACACATCTTTCTCTTGAACAAACACCATAATGACATCAATTATCAAATTAAAGTTTAAATCATCCGGTGTAATAATCATTTCACCATTGCCCCGCCCCATGGAACTAAAATCGTTAATCACAAAAAAATGTGTAAGATTAACTAAAAATGTCATGCACATGACCAATTTAACATCCCGATCGAGCAACAATTCATGTGCAAAAAACTTGGATTCTTTTTCAACATTCACCAGAGCACAGGCTCAGGACATTGTAGAATTTATTCTGAACCCAAGGAAAAAGAAGTATGTTTCTAGATGATGATTATATGTGTGAGTGCTATGTTAATTTATACATGAACTCCACACATCTTAGGAATTATATGTGCGGAAAAAATTGGGCATCCAAAACATAGACTCAAAAGTTTTGGCAAGGAAAAGATAAACAAAAACACAATGATCAAGATGAACTTTTCTATTGCATTCTTGAAATGGTATAACACTCCATAATTAGTCACCCAGAAATTGCCCTAAATAGGAGTAAAAACGTTTTGAAATTCCAAAATAGGAGTATCATGTTTTTTATTCCCTGAATAGGAGTAATCTGCCACATTTGAAAAAAAAAATGCCATGTTTAAAGCTTTGTAATGCCAAACCTGGCAGAAATTTACTCCTATTTAGGGAATAAAAAACATGATACTCCTATTTTGGAATTTCAAAACGTTTTTACTCCTATTTAGGGAATTCTCTCGTCACCTTGGGTGGTGTTATCGCTATATTTTACTCCGTATCTGATTTTTTTCAAATATATACGATAGTATATAGTAAAAGTAAAATAAACTTTTTAAAAGAGTAGACTGAGGATCGAATATATCTTATTACAACACCAAACAAATACAATGTTTGATACCTAGTTTTTTTCTTTTGCGAGGTTAATACCTAGTTTTAGGTTGCACGTTATTTAAATACCTTATGAATGGAATAATATCTGGTACGCAAGAGATTTCAATAGCTAGGAATCCAGTTGGGATTTTTGGATCCTTTGAGAATGGATAGTCTAATACTTGTACCGAGTATGATTGTAGAAAGGAAAACTGCTTGAGGTCCACAAAATGTGTAACATGTATCAATGTATGTCCTTCACAGAAATGTTGTCTGTCACAGACAACTCAAAATGTGTTGTCTGTCACAGACAACTCAAAATGTGTTGTCTGTCACAGACAACTCAAAATGTGTTGTCTGTCACAGACAACTCAAAATGTGTTGTCTGTCACAGACAACTCAAAATGTGTTGTCTGTCACAGACAAAATTTCCGTGAAGGAAAAACATGTGTACACATTTTGTGTACCCCTAGCAAAACTGTTGTAGAAAGAGTTGATGCCATGAGTGTTTTATAGTAGTACTTGATTGCGAGTCTTGTGACTGTTGATATTTTTTGGAGCAACGTGATGAATGTATATACTGTACGTGAGTACGTCGTTTAGAATAGTGTGGAAAGGCTGATATATACATTAATTGCCCTTTTAATTTACTCCAAGATACGGAGTAATATTTTTTGTGAACAACAATTCGTTTAAGTTCCCTAAGAAATTGTCTCTAATGGATTTTTTTGATTATTTAGCATTCACTTGGATTCTTTGGTTGATGTGCACGACTATAATCTTAATGTGATCTGTTTTGGCGGCAACTTACAAAGGAAGATTCCTTTTGCTATTATATAGTAATAGATGAGAATCTATATTGTCAAAATGTGCTTTCTTGGGATATATTTAGGAGATTTATGAGCTTAAGATTGTCCTCTGAAACTTTTATAGCAAACAAAGAACAACATTCATGCACAACTTCAAAGGACCAATGCTTAGAGTTTAGGGAAATTTTCACAAGTTGACAAAAAATGAAAGTAATATCACTTTTGCTCCCCTTAGAACTTTATTTCAAATATAGATTACATCAAAAGTTTCTTTTCAAAAATGGACCACTAACACGTATCAAGCTCACGGACTAAAATTTCTTTCGCCTGACACGTACACCCATGCATGTAAATTCGAATCTGCTGATTATGCACTCAACTTTTTTTAAACTAAAAATATAAAAATTCATTAACTCATATTGTTGATAATGTTTAGAAAACAATAAAATTAGAAAAGGGAAATTGAATTTTAAAAACATAAAAAAAAACTAAAATTAAAAAATAAAACTAAAAAAATGCAAAATTGAAAAATTGTAAATTAAATTTAAAAATTAAAGAAAATGAATTTAAATTTTACAAAAAAGTTAGAAAAATAAAAAACATGTAAAAAACTTTAAAAAAAACTTGGGAAATATATTTAATGTAGTTAAATTAAATTTAAATAGTTAATATAATTTATTTTATAAAATATAAAAAATCCAAAAATTATAAAAAAAAGTGTAAAATAGTTAAAAAAATTGATAACCTTAAAATTATTAAAAATACGTAATATAAGATAAAAATATTTTGAAAATATTAAATAATATGAAAAATAATTGGAATCTTGTATGAAAACGTAATTATTTTAAAAATTAGGAAAATATACATATTAAAGAAAATGAAAATTCAAATAAATATAAATTTTGAGATCATTCGAAAAGTTAAATTAAATTTTATATTACAGTGGGAAAAATAAAAATAGATTAAATAAAATTTTAAAAAATTAGAAAATCATGTGACCTTAAAAACTTTAAAATTAAAATAAAATCAAGGAATAAAAATTTGAAAAATAAAAATAATGAACTTTGAAAAAATTGAAAACTTGAAAAAAAAAAACAATACGAATTTTATAATGTAATATTTCTTACAACAATTAAACTATTGAATTATTATTATTATTATTATTATTATTTTATTTGTTTTTGTTGCATATTGTTTCTATGTGTTTTCTTTTGTTTATAACGATGAAATTTTTGTTTTTATTGTTTCTTTCTGTTTCAAGTTGTTTATTTTTATGGATCTAAATTTATCACTTTAGGTTTTTGTTTTTGAATCTACATAGACATTTTGATTTTAAGAAAGTCACCAAGGTAATAGAAACCTAAATAATAAAAAAAAACTAAGTCAATAAAAACAACGATAAATAACACAGTACAACAAAAAGAAACATGGTGCAACAAAAAGTAATACACATGATACAACAATAAGAAACAAAAACAACATTCAAGTGTCATAATAATGTCATAATAAGTATACAATTCAACTTGTTAGCTCAATTTATTACAGTATCTACTCTGTATTATACCATTTGATTTTGCTTCTTCACCTCTTCTGGTAATCTGATGAAACAAAAATTCTTAAATGCAAACAGTTACAGAATTATATATTTATAAAAATAAGATCACAAATTAGATATTTTATTAAAAATGCAGCCTAAAATACGAAGTATAAACATAACTCTAGATCAATATTAAGTTGTAAGCATAGGCACATTTGCACAAAAAATAGTCTCACCCTTAAACTATTTAGTTGCTCCAGCACGGTCTTTTGTTGGGGGTTATTGTGATTTTTCAGATTGTGCATCACATTTGTAACCCCTACTTAAGTTTCCATTTGATATCTGAAATAATAAAAAAAAATTGAAAAAATTAGAGAGATCCCATTGCAACAAAACAACACCAATATAGAGCCTGATTTAGGATATCCAACTCTTTAGAGGTATCAAAGTTCAAAAGAGTAAATGAAAGTTGCTGCAATCAAGTTTACATTATGATTTCTAGGAATAAAGCCTCCTGGGGTCCTTTCCTTTCTTATGAAAAAGCCAAATTAAGCTTTATTGATTGTTCCCCAGATTTTCTCCACTTCTGTATCAAAGGCTTGTGAAGGACATGTACAGGAATTGGCAGGCTTGCCTTAAAGGGAATGCATGTTTAAGATTATCATGTGTCTTACACCAAGCCAACATATGATGCCGTATTCACAAGATGTCCTGAAGCCTGCTGATAAGTCTTCAGAAAACTCAAAAAATTATAATTGCACACTATTCAAAATAATACTATCGTATAATCACAAACACGTGATTCAAATATATGATAGTTTCAAATACACTCAACTCAAATGTATCGCGTAGTATAAACACATTTAACTCATAGTGTCTAACAAGTTTCTTAAAACAACATAAAATTCAAAACAAATCAGTTAAAAGCTAATTAGACATTCAAATCTTGAAAGACCTTTGGAACTCCAGGTTCAACATTTATTTCCTTCACAACAATGTCTTTACAGTGAATAGTACACACTAATTACAACATATATTTGTTTTATTGAATTTAAGATTCCATTTACACAATCTTACCACCTCAAGCCCCACTATCCTATTTAAATTTTAAATCTCTTTCTTGCCTGTCAAATAGAATACATCAATTAAATTTATTATTTATACAACTTTAATTGATACCTGCAACAGAAAAGCATTTTAAGCAACAAACAAGAGAATTACCTCTCTGAAAACTACGAGGACCAACATATATCACTTTAGGCATGGGTGCCATGTACTGGATAATCAACAGTCACAGTCAGAAAGTTGATTAAATTTAAAAATGTAAAATAATTACTAAAGCTAATAAAAATTACAATGACAACAACTACATGATTATAGAAGAGTAAAATGAAAAAAATAGTAAAACAAGTCCCTCTGTATTAATAATATGCAGTTTCACACTTGCAGAAAAGTGAATAAACGTGATGAACAGATGATAGACACACACAATCAGTTTCAACTTTCATTCAACCAATTATTGCTTTCATAAGAAATTAAGATATAATATGTTTTGTCTTTTTAAACACTCCAGATCATATGAAACATCCAACAATCAATCGAGGTATCCTCAAACATCCAATTCATTACAGGGAAAATGCGGATACTTACTAGGATCAAATGTTCTTTGTCTCTGGTAATCTTTCAATAGAATGGAGCACAACCTGGTAAGAAATTGACAAGCTTAGTGTGACACAGATTAACAAATAAAGCTATGGACAGCCAGCCCAATTGTTCTGGAAACCATCTCCCGCCATCTTCTCCTTCACGCCAAGAGTAGCAGCGGCGTACAAGCAAAACAGATCGGAAAAAATCAGTAGCAACGGCGACCATTCTTCATCGAAAATCTATCTCATGCTTCATCGAAAATCGATCTCAAGCTCAGCCCTCGGAAATCAACCTCGAACTCAGCAATAACGACAGAAATAGGATGACAGCCATGCCAAAGCTTTGGACGGCGAGTATAAATTTGAGATTAACATTAAAAATTAGGTTAGAAACTTACAAGGTTAGAAATTAAGTCAGATACGGAGATGACAGATGAATTAAGGAGGACTGGAGAAATTGCCTTTTGCCTGAATTCATTCATCGACTAGGAGTGCAGCGATCCGCGGGGAGGCCATCAAGCTATGATGACTAAGAAATCACCGGCGATTGTGGTGAGTTGGCGTCGATGCTTCACAGAGGTCGGAGCAAACAGACGAGAGTGAAGGTCCAAGTCGAGCGGGTGGAGGTGGAAGGAGGATCTCGCGAGAAGAAGAAACGGGAGGAGGAGAAAGAACAGTCTACAACTGAAATAAATAAAGATAATTGAAAATACAAAAGTTAAAAATGAAAAGTATAAATAAGTGGGACACAAATGATATAGATCACACCAAAGTGAACTATACGGGTAATTTGCACTAGAGTTTAACATGGCTCGATTCGCAAATATTGACATGCCTTGATTCAGTTCGATTTAGTTTGATAATTTTCGTTCGTCAACTCAAAAGTTACAAGTTTGATTAACTCGAAAGTTCGGTTTCGAACTCGAGCTCAACTATGAAACAATCTTTGAATATTTGTGCTTAACATTTGCAAATTGTAATTTACATGCCCAACAGCTTTAAGTAAAGTAAATGTTGTCGAAAATAAATTAAAAATGGTCAAACCATGATGATTTAACTCGAACTAGAGTTATGGGAACGGAAAATAAATAAAACATAATCCTATCTTCAAGTCTCCATCCAGTTGTCCTAAAAACTTATAATTGTGAATGATAGCTTGTACCCCTAAATTATGTCAATATTTATGTGCATGTATTGTTATACATTACATTCAAACGGTTGTACCTTATTTTTCAGACAGACAAAAATGATATTACGGTATTAATATTTTAACGTTAGCATGATAAATCAACATTGTAACCGTATGCCTTTTGGTTTTTATCAATACACTTCATTGATACTCGACTACTCGTATTATTCAAGGGATTTCAAGTTATGCTGTTTGCAAATTTCATATTCCTAAATACGATTGTACTACGTATCTAATTTATACTATCGGTATATGTTGATCAATTCAGACAATTATTTACATAACAACATGGAATTAAGAGATTGACTGATTGATAAAAATTTGTCCTTTCAAAAATATCCTCTCGAAAGTTTACCAATTTATTAATGGTAAATTATAAAATAATTATTTTCATAAATTTATATATTGACCGACAAAGAATAAGAAAAGGCGAGTTACTTAAAACAAATAGCTAAGTAATATTGACAATATAATTTTTGTAAAAGAAAATAATACTTAGTTTAAGATATCTATAAACAATCGTACTCTCTCCGCCCCAAATTGTTTTGTGTAGTCAACATTTTTTTATCAACAAATAAAAAAGTCAATCCTACCTATTGATATTTAACACTCAATTTTTAATATTTAAAATTTACATATTCAGAAACTAAATTAAATTATCTTCAAAGTTGCAAACTTGTAATTACAATATTATTAAAACTTGATATCCTAATTAAGCAAACAAAAGGAAACAATTTGACCAAGAAAAGTCAAATTTACAAATTAATTTGAGATGAAGGTAGTAATAACACTTTTTCCAAAAATCATAATTTTAAATAATAAACTACTCTGTATGATATTATCACTGTGTTGGGCATACAATTTTGCGCCTTGCGCGAACCATCGCTAGTAATTCTAATATAAATCAAAAGTGGTCAAACAATGAAGAAATAGTGGATGAGACTTTGATTATTTTTGTTAGATTACTTTACCAATCGGTATTTTATACACACACACATATGTATATTAATTTATATTATATACTTCCTCCGTTCTTTTTTAGTTGCAACGATCAACATTTCACACTTGCCAACGCACGTCTTTGACCGTAATTATATCTTAATCTCTATTAGAAAAAAAATAATTAAAAATCGGATTTTGAAAATCTGTAATGAGATGAATTGAACATTTTTTTAAAAAAAATAATTTTCATAAAACAATAGCGTAAAATGTAGTCAAAATAGAACATGTGAATAGTGTAAAATTCAACCTGTGGCGATTATAAAAAAAGGAAGGATAGTATTATATATTCTCATATATATTATATATTAATTTATATTGTACTCCCTCCGTCCTTTTTTATTTAGTCAAACACTATTTTTCAAGTCAAAGTTGTTCAACGTTGACCAATTATATATTTAGACACAATAATATTGATAATATGAAAATTATATAAAAATGTTCTTTGTTAAAAATACTATCATAAAAGTACAATTTTTTAAAATTTCACATAAATATATTAGTAAAAATAATGTATCAAAGTTTATCATCTTTGACTGAAAAAGTCAAAGATGGCTAAATAAAAAGGGACAAAGGTAGTATGATGTATTAATATAAATACACACATATAAAACTAGGCTCGCGTGGCGGCTCGCGAGCTAGCGGGCCTAAAATTAGTAGGCTCGTTTATGGCTCGACTGCATAACAAACCGGCTCGAGCTCGGCTCGAGCTCGAGTTTGACAGAAGTCGATTCTATCTTTTACCGAGCGGCTCACGAGCGGCTCGACTCATTTGCACCCCTGTTGTAATGTTGCTTACCGCTTTGGAATTACCAAGTTCCTCTTAAAAAGAAAAAGTAATCAAAATCTTCAAGTTCACATATTGAAGTTCTTCGGGGTTATAATGTCAACCACAATGCATACATCTAGATATCTCTTTGATGCCATACATGCACCATGTACATTGAGGGCAGGAGACCATGATTGTTGTCATTTATTGATATTAGTTTTCAAATGTCTATCCTTGACATGTCAATTTATCTGCTACAACCTCTACAATGAAATTACAGGAAGAGAAAAAATACAATTACATATGTATTTCATATGGTTCACAGATAAACTATGGTACACATAAACACTTCTTCGAAATTCCAGGGAACTCCCAGATAAACTTATATTATAAACAAATATGTTTCCTTATGTCGTGTTTCCTATTTTATGCGTATGTGTTGCCAAGCATTTTGAAATAAAAGTTTGTCTTCCATCATAAGTGCACCCACTACAATGGCCTACAAGAACAAAATTAAAAAACATTTAAGCAGAAGCATAGATGCTGAGGCAACTATTATTCAGAAAGAAACTTATATCACAACAATACTGTTACATAGTACATACGGTGTCAAGGTCATTTTCTTCCGCGTAAAGGAAAATGACAGTTGTACCCATTCATTTGTGAAACCTGTAATTTTTTATTTTGAACACAGACTATGATTTGCGTGCAACTAAGATGTATGTGAGTCATGTGACAAATAAGTTACATGCATTTCTTTTCTATCCTAGACATATATTTTATGTGAAACTTGATTTTCTACATTTCTACTGTCACCTTGGACAAAAAATATCTAAGCTACAGATTTTGAACTGTAAAAAATGTGTACTACTTTGTTAACGCCAAACATTGTCGAAAAATAAATAATATGGAGTTGTGTTCAAGAATTATCTATTCCATGTATACTTACTAGGATGAGTTGGAGTGAATGTGAGTCTCTGCAAGAAACTGCATTTCCAGAGCTTACACCTGCAAGTACGGTTGCGTTTGACAAGAGGAGTCGATATATTGAGTTTGAGAAAAGGGACTACAATGAACATCAAGACTTCTGTAATTGCAAGTTGTAATTAGTGATATGTAATACATCAAGTACCAACCTGCTTGATAAGCTGGAGAAAGTGGGTTCACAACAGTGGTTGGAGCGGGAGTAACGGATTCAACCGGAGACGGAGTCGCGGGACCCACTGGAGCAGCTGACGGGGTCTAAAACCAAGTAAATGATGATTTATGAAGAAAACATATACATACAAGCAATGGCGTGCGTGTCCATGAATATTGTTTACCATTGATTAGAGATCACATTTTGAGTACAAAAATCTTATAAATCAAAATAAATTATTCAATATGAATGACTAACAACAATGCACTTAATAAATTATTCAATATGAATGACTAACAACAATGCACTTATGTTTCGGCCACTTTGTAACACAATAAACATTATTACTACTACGTATATTACAAAATCTTTGAGAATTGCAAATGTATTCATATTTTTAAATTCTTATTTAGTAAAAAAATTACCACTGTAACATTATGGTTATAAGATGAATTGATTTTTGTTTTATGCAACAAAGTACTGAACCCTAAGACACGTGTGACAATATATCATACATGTGTATATATCCTTAGGGGGCGGCCAGACGGGTGACTGAACTTTGAATAATTTTTGGAAGCCTAAATTTCTTGTTTTCAATTTTAAACCAAAACATCTTCCTGATTTTTTATGGGGTTATAGAAAATTGAAATCAGTGTTAAATAATACGAATCCTAAACCCGAAATTAATTAAGAAAACATTTTTTTATAAAGTTGAAAACATTACAGCAAATTGAAAATTTAGAAATCACATAATTTCTACTTTATTATCTATGTAGTAAAGGGCATCCAGGGGTGCATGATGGCCGCGAGGGTCCGAGGAAGGGTCCCACCACAAGGGCTAGCCTCTTCCCTTTGAAAGAGTGCCATATTATTATTACCTGAGAAGTGTTCAGAAGGCCAATATCATAGGCCATGGAAAGGTCGGGTTTGAAGATCCCAAATGACCTTTCAGAGGCAATACCTGGCTTCAAATCCTCATCATACAGGGCAAATATATAAGTATCAACTGATTTCCCAGGCATTAGAGGCGTACCAACCATAGACCGGAGATGATTTATCAAGTTCCCATTATATGCTTTTGCATTGTCTACGGTGGCACCTGCTTCGGTATGATCACCTTTGGTAGGCCAACCAGTCTCTGCAACTACAATTTGAACCTCATCGAATCCCATTGCGTTCAAGGCTGAGTAAACTGCGTCCACCTGCATATAAAAATTTCGATATCTAAATAACAAACAAATCACAACTTAATGGAAAACTTAAAAAAAACTTACTGAAGTGTCCCAAATGCCTATTTCTATATATTTTCAGTATAAACTTTGCAATGGCCAGCACATATGACTTTCATTCAACTACCTGAAGTCTCAACTCATCAAACCCTCATAATATTTTGTGAGCCAGTGGATAAAATTGTATAATGATGACCGTTTTGGAATTTCGTCTAATTGTTCATGCTTCACCAGGTTGCAACATGAAGGGCGTGAGTTTATAATGTTAACTAAACTTAGACAAAATGCATTGACACTTCGACACCATATATTCCACGCCAACGTAATTGGGATTAAGGCGTTACTCGTGATTCCTTTACCTACAAAATTTGCATTCCAAAGTGAATTTTTCCCTTTAAATTGGCATTCCAAATGACAAAAGTGATGATACTCCTATCAATTTGTGGTTACCTTTACAAAAGCATGCTAAGAATCTTGTTAAGTTTGCAAGCAAGCAATCAAGCAAGCAAACAATTCATGGAATCAAGCTACCTCTTGATCAATTGTTTGGAACGGCTTACTACAAGCAGTTTTGATGTAAGCACTTCTCTAAAAGGCAAAAATTTGGTGCTTCTATTGGTTTAAAAACCAATTCCAATTGGGCTTTTAAGTAAGAAACCAACCATGATCTGTAAAAGATCATTTAACATGACTTTGTAGTCACTCGAGTATGAATACTAATAATCATATTAGGTGAAAATTAAGTACCTGTACAAAAGGGTGGGGATAATGAGATTCTCACCTGAGCATCAAACATGTTCATGTATGTTTTCTGATTTCCATTATCAGGTCGGCCATCATTGGGCTGGAAGAGACAGAAAGCCAACGTTTCGGGCCTTTGATCACTCTGGTAAGCAAAATAAGGATACGGGTTGATCATCAATGGTGCACCGGTATCTTTGAGGAATTGCAGTAATGGCATCATTGTGCCATTAAAAGAAGAGTTAAATGCTCCTGAAGAGGGCGGGTCAGATTGACTTAGCACTGCCATTGAGTGCACCGTTGACACCTTTATTTCCCTGCCAATGGATGGTGCTGAAGAAAAATTCAAAGTTACTCATGCAATGTCTTGACAGTTTTAGTTACTCTTATCCACAAAGACTGATGCTGGTGCTTATTTAGGAATGTTTCTTGTGGCATATTTAAAGCCAAAGTACACTGGTGCTAAGTTAGATAGCACAAGATGAGGGCATTATTTAGAGTTACATTTTTCTTTAAAGAATACTCTGTAGTAAATATGATATAATATTCGATACACTAAATACACTGTGGTTCTGTTTGATGGAAGATTGGAAGGTAAATAATGGTGTGAAAAAAAATTCTTGAAAAGATATAAGTTTTTCGAAATGTACTATACTCTAAATATCAGATATTTAATCAACAAATATAGGTGTACTCAAAGTTTTTTTATTCCGAGCGATGAACGGAACAAAAAAATCAAGTTATTATTCACTTTTTGAAACCAACTTACTCCTAATATGAAACCATTACAGCACTCAGAGATTGGATGTCTTTTCTTTTGCACATCTAATACACCTACTCCATCTGATCCACTAAAGAATAAGGATGTCTAATTTCGAATTATGATGGCGAAATTATTTACAATTTAATTTCCATTGATATACTACGAGGGAAAGGAACATTTGTAGGGAAAAGTTGTTAAATGTCTCACACCGGAAAATTGAGAAGCATTAGAGTGCTATATTAAGCTTCGGGCTACTCCTCCTAACAGGTTGACCTTTTAGGATGGAACCCCGTGTCTTAACAAAAGTTATACATTTGTAGGAACATTTGTAGGAATCACGAGTGACCTACCATCATCCATTAATTTCAAACTAGTTCTCAAAAGTTACATATTCGAAATCTCCAAAAAAATCTCAAAACTATACCAATGGACCGCACGAGGAGAGAGTAATAAAGAAATTATGGCATTACAAGCCACTAGTATGTTTTTAATTGGTTTAGTTTCCTTTTTAGACCAAACTTAAACACAAAACATCATTTAGACAAACAAACAAAACTTAAATATACCAAATCAAACTTGAATAGAAGAGAACCAACTAAAAAATTTCAATGGAATCAAAAGCATCGCTACACTACCAATGAGATGGAATATAATCAAAGATAGCTACATACATGCATCGAGGGCACTTTGGACATTCTTCATAGCAGGCAAGAGGTTGGAGATAAGATTCTGATCCCCTGAGCTCATAACCTCGTTACCAACGGTGACGACGATAATCTTGCTACTCGGGTAATAAGGAATCACATTATCATTGACCCACTGAACCGCGAAGTTCGGGTTCGGGTTGCCTGCAAGATTTTCAATGTCACCGTTGGCAGCTCCGATCACAATCTCAATGCCGGTATTCGCCAATGCTGTAATGATCCCCGGGTCGGCGCCGTACAGCCTGACCTTCCCAATGCTGGTCTTCTGAAGCAGCTCAGACGTATTTCCCGGCGGCGGCAGGTTGTCGGCGACCTGGCCATAGTTGACGCCGATGAAAGGCTCCGATTCTGATGCACAAACAGGAAATAAAGTAAAATTGTATTAAAGGGTCTCCCAGAAAAAGCCAACAGAGGGACAAAGACGCCAGCTTTTTGTATAACTTACTTGCAGTAGAGAAAGATTGCAGTATGAAGCAAAGAAGGAAGAAGATTGAAGGATTCTTGAGTGGGGAAGCCATTTTTGCAGCAGAGAAAATTTGATGGAAGAAGAATTGGGAGGTCGTCTTGTGAATGGCAAGAGTGTGGAGTAAAGATAACGGTTGGAATCAGAGGTTATTTACAGAGCAGATTCTTGGCTCTGGAAATAACTGTAGTGACGGGGGAGAGGGAATAAATCCTCTTTTAAACGTGAGGAATGGGGAAAGGTAAATGAGACTATGAGAGTAATCCTTTTTTCACTGTTCCCAGAAACTGCCTAGATTTCAACCCACCGTTTCAAAGGTTCGAGACTACTTTGAGGTTTGACCCCCTTGCCAAATTGCTACACCACCAAAATTTAAACAAAGTGCCAAAGTGAATTCCTATACCCTTACTCCCGTCGTCCATAAAAGAACTTCCAACTTTTCCTTTTCGTCCGTGTCAAAAAGAACTTTGTTTTTCCTTTTTGGCAAAAACTTTGTGGTTCACAACAATTCTTACACATTTCTCTCTCCTTTGCACAACTCTCCACCACACAATTCCCACTTTCTTAATCCGTGTGCCATTTGTACTACGGAAGAACATTTAGGGACGGAGGTAGTACCATTTACGTTGTATTAAAATAAATTGTCAATGAAAAAATTGTACTTCTAGTCACAAATAATTTGTTTGAAATATGGAAAATAGCACTTTTGTCCTTTAAATAGTCATCATATTGAAATGTCAAACCCTAGTTCTGAGATTTTAAATGTTGTCTCTCAATTGTCCAAATTACTGTAAATGTGGTCCTTTGATGGATGAAATGTACTCCTCGCCTACATTGTACATTTCACCACTCAAATGATCACATTTATATCAATTTGGACAATTGAGTGAGATATTTACAATCTCAAACATTTCAATATGGTGACTTTTAGGGACAAAAAGTGCGTTTTTCCCTTTTAAATATGAAACATTGTTGATTAAGAGAATTTTTCCCCAAAATAATGTTAAATAAAAAAACAATTCCCAAAACAGTGTTGGATTAAAACTATTTCCCAAAACACTATAGTTTTTTATTTAACATTATTTTGGGGAAAAAGTGAAAATTGTTCGTAGCACAAATAAATTGAACATGCACACTTGTGAGAGTTGTGGTGTGTACACAACCAAACTTTCAACTTTAAAAGAGTCTCCTATGAAATTTTTTAGACCATGTTCACATCATTATCATCACACATGTTTTTCATGGAGACCCCCATTAAAAAGATGTATGGTAATGGTAATGCTAATATAGCAAATATGACTCTTATGTTTAAGGTATACTCCGTATTTTATTTGTATAACAAGAGAAAAATTATATGAAAAAGTATTTAAAATAATTTTGCTCAACAAATTTAGCCAAACAAATAACTTCAATCTTGATTTTTAGTTATTACACAGTTCAACACGTCAAATAAAACTATGTATTTAATCAAACAAATATTGATAAACTAGTAAGAGGGTGCCAAAGAGGATTTTAGAACCACAAATTTAACCATTTCTTTGATTTACTTTGCAGGAAAACATTTGCTACTTAAAATTTAGAGAGTATTACTCCCTACAAGTCTTAGTATCTTACTACTACTATATTGTAGGTAGTATTGTTATTGTCTTCTCATCCTAACTCGCATAGAAGAATAAGAATGGAGAAATGAAATCCCCAAAGGCAAATAGCCAAAAACCTGACCACAAGCCGATTGTGAAATGCGACAAGGGTTGGCGTTTGTGATTAATTTTAATTTATATGAAGGAGCTAGCCGCTAGGGTGGAGCCAAAGGCGGTGGATCGAAGTGGTCAATTCACTTCTTGAAAATTTGAGAATATAAGATGTTTTTACTCCAAATCTGAATATCTTCAATGTTATTAAAAAGAGTGATATAATTTTAATATTATGTGGGCAAATCTGAATTGAATGGAGTTATAATTTAGTCCCATCACATAAAGTGTCATAGTGTCATGTTGTTTAATGCAAGTTTGATACTCCGTATATCTATACTTCCTATGTTCTTTAATAGTTATAATAATTTTTGTACTATTCAACACCTTACCTTGATTATGGTTTTAATTTCTACAAACATATACTAGTTAAAATTTGAGAATATAAGATGTTTTTACTCCGAATCTGAATATCTTCAATGTTATTATAAAGAGTGATATAATTTTAATATTATGTGGGCAAATCTGAATTGAATGGAGTTATAATTTAGTCCCATCACATAAAGTGTCATAGTGTCATGTTGTTTAATGCAAGTTTGATACTCCGTATATCTATACTTCCTATGTTCTTTAATAGTTATAATAATTTTTGTACGATTCAACACCTTACCTTGATTATGGTTTTAATTTCTACAAACATATACTAGTATAATCAAATTATTCTATATAAAATGTTATTAATTTTTTATTGATTTGAATTTTCAAATTTTAAAATATTTATAACTCATACGTAATTAAATATAATTACATAAATTATGCGTTAATAAATGTGAAAATCTAAATGTTGCGACTATAAAAAAGAAAGGGTGGTTAAATATAATTACATAAATTATGCGTTAATAAATGTGAAAATCTAAATGTTGCGACTATAAAAAAGAAAGGGTGGTATTTATTTAGGTACTTTCAAACAAGTATGGAATGGCATGCATTTTCAGGATTCACAGTACGCTACGGAACTTCAATTCACACCACTACACCTTTATTCTTCATTCATGCTTTAAAAAAGTTAGATTGCTAGTGGTAGCTTAGCCCTTACGTAATGACCGGCTTTAATTTGGTCTCGTTGCCGCCTAATTCCAATTTTGAGCCACTTAATAACTGCACTACCATGTACTTTCCTTGGCTTAATTAGTCAAAGGAAAATAATTTAAAATCCAAAACAAGTCTTTCCTCATTTCCTTTATGTGGTTTGGGCTAATCAAACAATGCATTGAAGAGCCGAAACAAAAACAAGCTCCAGCGTTAGTTAGAGCAATTTTTGTATATGTAGTTTCAGATCTTTTGTAATTTGTATGAGCCTTGTGTGTTGTGTCTCATTCAATTCACTCTATGTTAAGAACATAATTTATATCATTCCTTTTCCAAAGACGTACGTAGTACACTAGTACTACGAACAAATATATCGGGTTGCCAAGAAAATCAAACAAAGAAGTGAGCACTACTTATTACCATCATTTTATTGACTTATTTCCCAAAGTTAAACCTAGCTACAACGTGTATTTTATGAATAGATAAAGTTAAAGGCTAAAAAAGTTAGAGAAATTTAAGTGTATATACACCTTTATTTAAATATACACCGCTAAATTAACGTCATACATTTATAAAAATTAAACGCATAGCTTTTATCAGACGTCATCAATATATTATATATGACTGATATAACCCTTTTAATTTATGTGGTTTCCTTCTGCGTGTACTCATCCCGCAAAATTTGCGATTCCCGTTGAGTATGGCGCTATTCGCTATCTATCGATCATGTTAAGGATTGCAATAACCAGTCGTTAGCATTACTTGACCACTAACCATATGAACCAAAATCAATTTAAAATTCTTGCTAAAGCACGCTATCACGGTTGGGAGTACTACTCATCAATTATTTTTCATCATTTTTCACCACTACGAGTGGTTTCCTTCCCTTCAAGAAACACGCATTCAATGGATGAACTGATATGTACTTATGTAAAACAAGAACGGACGACTCAGACTTATTTTTCATTTGAAAACTATTACGGAGTACTTCGCAATTGGGGCAGAGAGGCATGAGCTATCCTTCAGCCCATGAAATCTTATTTGCCCGGATTGAAGCCCAAGACCTATTCGAGGTCAAGGTTGATATAATCCGTCATATGGCCGGACTCCATCCAAGTGGCAATTGGATGGGGCGAGGGGCTAGGGCATTGGACAATCTGCGTACCGCCACTGGGGAGGAAGATCTAAGTATACTTTATCTTGGGGCAGAGAGGCATGAGCTATCTCTCTATCAGGCTATGGACGGTTTATATATATCCAATCATAAACTGGAAAATTTAATTAAGGTTTAAGGTCTCAAATGGTATTTTATATTTCTATCGGCTTTATATCATATACGAAAGTGTTATATGCTTTATAAAACAAAATTGAAGCTATTAACTTTATATAGCCTATTTTTTAAGGCTATTTAGCCATTTTTCCCAAAAAGTTAATTCATAGTAGAATAGCATTTTTCCAATACAATATTTGATTTATTTTTCCCGCGAATAGGTGAGTTGGGGTAAAAGCTAAAACAATAACAAAATAACAACATTTAAAATTGGAGCTGAAAATGGTATTCCCTCTGTCCCACTAACAATGAGACAAGAGGAAGAGACATGCAAACCAATAAAAAGTGATTTATGTGGCTGATATTGAATCGATAAAGTAAGAATAAAGTAAGAATGATTTAAAGTCATACAAACTTTACTAAATTTGGTATGAGACAATCTTAGTGGGACGGACCGAAGCGAAGAGATAAAATTAATGGGACAATCTTAGCGCCTTAACGGGACGGAGGGAGTATTTAAAAAAAGATAAAATGGATCATTTATTGCTCTTCCTAAATCTGATAAATAATTATTATTCTATTTATATTTTTCTCTTCTGTTTTTGTCTCTCCATATGGAAAGTTATTACTTTTACAACAAATGAATTTAAAGTCTATGTGCTTTTATTTAGACACAACTACAAATTATGATTGGGATAAAGCTAAGGTTTACAAAAATATGACATCTTTAATATTGTGACTATAGTGATAACTTTACTTATAGTTATATTTATGTTTAATTTTTACACTTAAGTGACAATGGTATACTTATTTACAAAAATATGATTAAAATGTATTATTGAAACATCTTTAATATGACATCTTCAATAAATATTATTGAAACACGGAGTAATACTTATTTACAAAAATATGATTAAAATGTATTATAGTATGATACGTATCATACTATAATACATTTTAATCATATTTTTGTAAATAAGTATTACTCCGTGTTTCAATAATATTTATGAACAACCCTGTTTTTGTAATATAAAAGAACGGTTTTTTATATTAATATTGGAACTCATACAAGACAACCTCCATACAGTTACAAATCCCATCATAAGCCATAGGAATAAACATAAAATTAGTCATCTCATACAAAGCAACTTGATTGGCTAGACACGAAACATGCAATTTTAAGCCTAAAATAATCGGAACTACAACAGTGCCTATGCAAATACTCCAGAATTCAAAAAATCCTACTCGAACTAAGATAAAAATCATTACTACTAAAGGAAAAATAAAATTGAAATAAAGCATTTCCACAAAATTATTCCTGACATTGAAGTGGAAGACGAACTCTATCACTTTCTATGCATCTCAAACGAGAGCAGACAGAAACTCCTGACCAAGCGAAGCTACTGGGACACCAAAACAAAATAGAACAAATACAACCAGAAATGAAGAACCGTTTAGTTGAGTCATACGTATATGGACTTATGGTCATACTCCTACGTATATGGATCTCTCCATCATTTTCTTGGTATTGAAGTGATACCTACTCAAAATGGCATGTTTTTATCGCAACGACAGTATATTATTAACACTCTTGAAACGTGTGCTATGCTTGGTGCCAAAGACTCCACTACACCAATGAGTTCGTCCCAGCCAGTTACCTTGGCAGATGGGGTCCCTATGCATAATCTGAAACAATATCGGAAGGCTCTTGGGTTGCTCCAATATCTTTCGTTCACTCGACCAGATATATCTTTCTCTATCAATCGACTGTCTCAGTTCATGCACCAGCCAACTAATCATCACTGGCAGGCGGTTAAACGCATCTTGCGTTATTTGAAGCACACGGTTAATTTCGGTCTCTTCCTTCACAAAAGCAAACCTCTGCACCTTACTGTGTTCTCTGACTCAGATTGGGGAAATATCCATGATCAAGGACGGTCAACAACATGTTATGCTCTTTATCTTGGACCTAATATAATTTCATGGAAATCAGCCAAGCAGAAATGTGTGTCACGATCCTCCACCGAAGCAGAATATAGAGTCGTTGCTAATGCTAGTGCTGAATTAATATGGGTTACTAATCTCCTGCGTGAACTTCATGTACAAATCCCGACCACTCCTACATTATTATGTGATAACCAAGGAGCTACCTATGTGTGTGTGAATCCGGTGTTTCACTCCCGCATGAAGCATCTTGCATTAGATTTCTACTTTGTACGGGATTTGGTCGAACAAGGTCAGCTCAAAGTTCATCATATCTCCAACAAATTGCAAATTGCTGATATTCTCACCAAACCTCTTGGGCGTACTCTATTTGAACAATTTCGATCCAAGATGGGTGTTTTCGATGGAAGTCCCATCTTGCGGGGGCGTATTAAAACCTAATTAATTATGTACATTTTATATGCTACGGTTATTATACGTACTAGTATACTTTGTACAATATTTATCTTTCCTGCATATTAGGAGGTAGTTTCAGACTTTCAGCTAGACTCATACGGATCCTTTGTAACGTAAGTGTATATAATAAATACACTACCATCAACCATGTATACGGATTATGTATGTGAAATACAATCTCTTTATGTAGGACCATTTGTCAAAAAAAGAAACAAAACACCTATTTTAGGATGATAAAAAGAGGAGTATTATTTTAAAATAGAATATAATCTAATTAAACTCCAAACTGTGAAGGGTCGTGACTTCTAAAATGACAGCAACTTCTCTCGACTGTAATACGGATAGTTTTTTACAACCTAAATTAAGACTATTATATTGATGGTTCCATCTTAAGCCTTAACAATTTTGGAACCCCAAAATGCATGTCGTTCTAACTGGAATGAAACTACAAGGTCAAATACAAAATTGGTGGTTTGTAATTTTTTTACTTATTCAATGAGAGGGAATACAACCAGGGCCTAGGATTTTTTGGTCTGAGTCGAATAGTATAATAAGGCTCTTAAGCACCATAAAAAATAAACATTAAAAACATTTATACTTAATTACCGACCTAGAATAATGAGATTATATTCTGGAAAGGAATGAATTAACGTCTTCGACTCTTCTACACCGGAGAACTCTTCAAAGTTTGAAGTTGGAATTCGGGAAGTTGCAAATTCAAATTGAGTCTACTAATTATGGGTATACATATAAAAGAAAATTACGGAGTATATATTTTTGGGCCCTAATTTTTTTCCCAAAATCGTGGGCCGGAGGCAATTGCCTCTTTGCCTCACAGGTAGGTTCGGCGATGAATACAACATGTAACCACTCTTAACATGGATGAGATTTGAGAGTTTCTATCACACTATAATATTTGTTTGATCAAGTTGAATTTCTTTTTATCTAGTTTATTTGTTTTTTTTCTGTGTAAAGATTGATATTAGTTCAATTCTATTAAGCCTGAAATCTATCAAGAAGTTGAAAAGTTTGTAGTTTTTTTAGTTATTCAATGAGAGGGAATATACATCATGAAACCACTCTTAACATGGATGAGACTTGATCACACCGTAATATTTGTTTGATCAAGTTGAAATCCTTTTTATCTAGTTTATTTGTTTTTTCTGTGTAAAGATTGATATCAGTTCAATTCTGTTAAACCTGAAATCGAAGTTGAAAAGAAATGAGTATGATACAAATGTTATGCTTGAAATGTCACATGGTGTTCATACTACTACCTAGTACGAAGTACGTAGTATTTTTTTATGGCTTCGAGATAATCAAATGTGAAACTAACACTTTAAGTAAAGTAGCATTAGATTTAGATAAACATAAAAAGAATGATATTAAATCATTATATTCCCTCCCTATCTATTTACTTGTCACACTTTCCCTTTTTGGTGTATCAAATTAATTGTTTCATTTCATTTTTTGGAAAAAATCTCACTCCAAAAACAGTTACAGTATAACTACAGTACTAAAAACCACTTACTTTTTATAAACTCAGTGAAGAGCAAATGAATTATCTAATTAGGAGGGACTAGGGAGCATTACTTTAACAGATACGTTTTGTGCTAAACCTTTTGTGCTAAATAGATGATGGAGTGGTTCATAAGAAATGCAGTGTACGCCATCAATGTTGCATCGTTTGAATGCACCGATAATTAATAAACTTTTCTTGTTTCAAAATATTTTTATAAAAGAATAAAATTTATAAATTATATACCAATTGAAATTATTTAATAAAATGCAATGTTTCAATGCACACGTTATTTTAGACTATTAATTAACACGGAGTAGGATTAAAATATGAAAAATATCATAAATAGAACTATAATTTTATTCTCAAAAGATGATTTATTCACTCTTACTTTAAGAACTTTTAATCAAACTTAATCTTTAGGAATGAATAAGTTATATTCTCTTTTTGAAAACGTCACATTTGAAAAATAGAAATACTTAATTATATTTTTAATTTCTTTATGTTTTGGTTCCCTTTTTTTTATCATAGTTCTTTATTAAAAAAATATTTATAAAAATAATCAGAGTTATAAAATCGTCCGTTTGAAAAGCAAGGATAAAATTCTCGAATCAGGATAATTAGAAGGGCAAAACTACAATTTATCCTTTTGTTATGAAATCGTTTGCTGTAAATAGTGTTTTGGGGGAAAACTTTTAAATTTTAATCAGTGCTCGAATTATTGTGATTTACGAAAATGAAGATTGGGGGCGCCGCCGCTGCCGGTGGTGTTGGGACCAAGAAGCGACAACGTGTCGGAAGCAGCGGCCGTCTCTCCACCGTCGCAGTAATCGACTCCTCCCGCCAAGATGGAACCATGGTTGAATGTTCTAACAGACCGCCTGCTCTTCGACGCACTCCCTCTCACTCTCATCTTCCGGTGTCTTCTCGTAGCGCGTTCAACGACTCAACCTCCGCCGATGTAGTCCTCCGTCTATACGTTGATTGGCCCTTCGATGATGATGATGATGACACCGACTCGATGTCAGCCATTGATTCTATCAACCAGCCTGATGTCCAGATCTATCTTCACTCGGATGTGCTACGCCGTTCCAAATACTTCGCAGCTCTTTTGTCCGAGCGCTGGCAGATTGAGTCCAATGACACTGCTGATTCTGGAAGCGCATCGAAGATTCACAGGCTTAGTCTCGGGGTTCCTTCAACACCTGGATCAATGGAAGATCACGTAACTGTTCTTCAACTTCTCTACACGGACGACTATGCCGCAACTATATATAGCGTCTCTACAGCGCTTTCACTACTTGTGGTAGCTGTGAAATTGATATTTGATGATTGTATCAAGGCCTGTGTAAGGTTCATTGAGGCTGTCCCTTGGACTGAAGAAGAAGAACTCAGAGTATGTTCTCTAATTCCATTTATAGGGGGCGAAGAAGCTAAAGAACTCCTTGTTAGGGTTGCACCTTTGAATCACGATTCATCTGAGGACATGCTTCATGGATTAATTCTCACCGCAATTCATAACCAGACAAACATGCCTCCTGCCAAAGCTTTTGTTGCAAAGCTTTTGAGGGACTTCTCATCAAAGGAGTTAGCAAGGAGGGTGCTTGATCGTGTGTTTGAAACATGCCTGAAGGTTGTGAAGGAGTCCCTGGAGCAGTATTCCAGCCCAGACTTCAGAGGTGATCATGATGAAACAGAGGCTATTCAGAGGTTGAATTTGCATACTGCTATGACGAATGGGAGGCATCTGCTGTGGTTGGTTGAGAGGATGATTGAATTGAGGGTGGCTGATACGGCTGTGAGTGAGTGGAGCAACCAGGCTTCCCTTACTGCCGATTTGCAGAAGGCATTCCAGGAGGATGCTTGGAGGAATATTGTTCCAGGTCTTCCTTCAGTTTTTCTGCGCTGCACTTGCAAGCTTGCCAGTGCTGTTGCATCTGGGACTATCTTGGCTGATAGACAGGTTCATTTTGCAACTTATTATTTTTAAGCATTAAATATTCTATCTTGAGTTGCATACGTAATGGAAAACATAGGTTTAGGCATAGCTAGCTGTGTGATATGTGCTTTACTGAATGTTTAGATTCAATTCATTGTGCACATAACTGAAAATTATAAAGTTTGCTAGTGCTTCAATCTAAATGAGCAATAAATAGTGGACTTTATAGTTCATATAGATAATTTTCAGTTTTAACTGTCTCAAGTTGGCTTTGTTTCTTCTTCATGGTCTTCCAAGGGGCTCCATTGCTGGACTTTTGTACAACTCCAATGCACTCTTTGCTAAGGACTTCATTTTCATAGCATGAGATATAACTGTTTTTGGGAGTGAGAGCATAATGTGCATTACCTATGCATTCAAGATGTCTATAGTAATGTTGGTAGACCAAGGCCTGGTTTGGTATTGTTGTGGCTTTTAAGCCATGTCACTTTTTTCTCCAAGAGATTGTTATAAAATTGCCACATAGCTTTAAGGCTAACATAATAAAATAACTTAAAAGCCACAATTATGGTAAATAGATGGTTTGAATTCATAATACCCCGCTTTTTGACTAAATTAGCAGTCTTTTATTTAAGAAACAGTCTCACCCTCCTTTTTTTCCAACATTTATACATTTACATCATTTTATATCATAGCATACCAGGCCAATTTTTTTCCACAACACATTTTTTTTTTCAAAAATTGATCCTATATAACTGTAATGCCAAACTGCCCCTAAGGCCTAAGCTGTAACCCCTAAGGTTAGGAATCTGGACCATCAGGGTTTGACGAGGCTGTGTGGAATTAGGATGGCTTGAGTTGAAAAAAGAACAGTGGTGGTCAATGGCATTCTAATGCCTATGCAGGGATTAATTGGGGATACAATACAGGGCATTTACACTTTTATAGTGCAATGGTAGAGAGTATTTATATATCTTTGAACAGAAGACTTGTTTGTAATTATGTTTTGCTTATCATGTATGATGTTTGCAAATGACAGATTAGAATGAAGCTTGTAAAAGATTGGCTCCCTGTGCTTATTGCATGCAAAGACAACGCATCACCTCTGATGCCAAATCATAATAAATTGCTTTATTCTGAGCTGGAAGAAACATTCTTGAGGATAATATCAACACTTCCACTTCAGGATGCTCAGGAATTGTTGCAAAAATGTCTCAGCTTTTCAACCCGGAATGTGGAAGATTGTCCTCACTTGATCAGTGCATTTACCACTTGGTTCCGCCGAGCAAACAAGCCCAACTCTTCGTAATAATACTTTTGAAGACTAGTAAGTTTACATGAACATATTGAACAGTTTATTCCCCTTCATCCCCACACAATTCTGTACATAAACTTTTGTTTTCCTCTGGTCCCTTTATGCGGGAAGCTATATTCCTGTGTTGTTAAATTTCCTGGGAGAGAGGGTTCCACCCTTGTCTTTTTTTCTTGTTACCTTGGTGGACGAATTTATTACAGACTAAAATAAAATGGCGTGATCTGTGATGTAGATAAATATTCTGGGTCTCTTTATTTGCAAACAAATAGAAAGATCTGTTAATGACAACTCTGTCGTATAAGTGTGGGATTACTGGTGATGAACATACCCGTTTGTGTACTTATAATTTGAGAAAAGGGCCAATAGGATTTTCTACTCCATTTTCATTTTCATTTACCCCAGTGCCGCAAAGGCCCCCACTTACGATGGGGTAAGGGGAGGTCGGATGTATGCAGTCTTACCCCTGTACTCATAGGGCTGGACTGAACCGGGCCGGTTCGGGCCTCAGGTCTGGGCCCGGCCGGGCCTCGGTTCAGAATATTGAGGCCTGAGCCCGAACAGGGAGTGGCCGGTTCCGGGCCGGGCCACCCGCCCTATTTTTTTTGGCTTCTTTATTTAATACCCTACCCCTCTTCCTCAACCCCAAACCACCCCAAACCACCTCAAATGGACCAAAATACCTAATCTAACCCAAAACTTAAAAAAATTTCAAAAAAAAAAAATAAAAATAAATTATTTCCGGCCCGGACCGGGCCTAGGCCTGGACTCGAGCCGGGCGGCCCGACCCGGAACCGGCCCCGCCCGGCCACTGTAGCAATCGGCCCGGCCCGGTGGCCCGGTCCACCGGCGGTTCGGGTCGAACCGGCCCGGTGGTTCCCGGTTCCGGGCCCGGGCCTTCCAAATGGTGAACCGGCCCGGCCGGTTCGGGCCCGATCCGGGCCGGATTTTAATTTTTTTTTTTTTGAAATTTTTTTAAAGTTTTGGGTTGGAATAGGTATTTTGGGCCATTTGAGGTGGTTTGGGGTGGTTGAGGGAGAGGGGTAGGGGATTAAATAGGAGAACAAAAAAAAAAAAAAATTAAGTGGACCGGTTCGGCCCGGCCCGGCCCGGTTTGGCCCGGAACTGGGACCGGAACCGGCCACCGGCGGTTCGGGCCCGGGCCTCCCATTTCCTGGCCCGAGGCCCGGCCGGGCCCAGGCCCGAACCGGCCCGAGTCCAGTGTAAACCGGGCCCGAACCGGCTGGGCCGGTTCACCATATGGAAGGCCCGGGCCCGGAACCGGGAACCACCGGGCCGGTTCGACCCGAACCGCCGGTGGACCGGGCCACCGGGCCGGTTCCGGGTCAGGCCGCCCGGCCCGAGTCCAGACCTATACTCATAGCTGGTCCTAGGGGGAGGGCAGTAGGGGCGACCGCCCTAGGCCCGAAAAAAGTAGAAAGGACATTAGGCCCAAGTTTTTTTTCTTTATATATATTCTGAGTAAGTTTTTTTTATAATTTCAATTATTTAATTAGGCCTAATGTGTATTTTTTGTTGACAATTTGAGAGTTTTAAAATATAAGTAAAAAGTCTTGAACAGAGCTAGACAAGTTTTAAAAAAGGAAAAAAACTTAGTTTTGATTTTTAAATAGAGTTGCTTGTAAGTCAATACATTGTTGTTGAATCAATAAAATCACGTCTTTTCACATATTTTTAGCCTTTAAGACTTTTTATTATTATAATTACAAAATTACCAATTTATATTATTGTCTTTGGCCTGCTAGTGCCTCCCAATTCTCAAACATCGTCCCAATTATCTATTATGCCTCAAAAACTTAATGGAATGTCAATTTTAAACATTGCACATGTGATTTTGGAAAAGATTGATTATAAAGCAATTATTGATGATATTACTTCACAATGTTCTTTTGTGATACTTGTGTTGTTACTTTTGTCTAAATATGTAATTCAAATAATATGAAGGTGAATTTTGCCCTTATTTTATAACCTTAATTAGATAGTTGTAGGGAGAATTCCTAAAATAGGAGTAATTTTTTTTTGAGAATTTCAAAATAGGATTGTCATGTGTTTATTTTCTGAATAAGAGTAATTACTGTCATGTTTGGAAAATACTACCATGTGTAAAATATGATACTGTCAAATTAAAATATGGCCGTTGTTACTTCTATTTAGAAAATAAAAACATGATAATCTTAGCTTGGAATGTATAAACGTTTTTAGTCGTAATTAGAGTAATTTCTCATAGTTTTACTATACTCCGTAATTTTTTACTTTAAGTATAATTTACTGTTTGTCTTGAAAATAAGGCCAAAATAGTATCGCCCATAGGCCCAAAACTAGACAGGACCGACCCTGCCAGTGTACTAAAGCGCAGAGAGATTGTTTCCGGATGACCCATAGTGAAAATCGCGTCCAAAATTCCATGGACTGACTGCTGTTTCATAAGAAAGAAGCGCAAACAGTTTAGTGAGTCGTTTCGCTTTATTCCATCATATTCTCAAGCCAAAAAATAATGAATCTTTGGCTTCATTGCAAATGAGGGAAATCCAATTGGATTTTCTACTATTTCAAATAAAACCAATAAACACGCGTCTTTAAGGACTTTAGTAAAAAAATCAATACATTTATTTTATTGGAATATTATTGCCATCTATAGCATGACACTCTTTGAAAAAATGGGAAATCTATTTTTTTTTTTGAAAAAGTAGTAAATAAACAATGTGTGAAATGGAAGTCTTTCTTAATCCAACAAGCATTAGAGTCTGATTGTACTGACTGGAAATTCTAAGAAATTTTGTAAATAATTTTTTTGGGTTTTGTGTTTAGAATAAAATTATGAATGAATTAATGAATGGTGCTATACTGCTATTGCTGCTGGATGATCCTGGATCTATCAACTTCCTGTAAAAGAACAATGCCAGCCAACATCAATGGAAAGTATGAAACCAACAGCCCCCAGCCTGTATCACATATATATTCATCTCGATCAGGAAAGAATTCTAGCTCAATGTACATAGATGATGGCATGATACATGCATACAATTTTCATTTGAGTGTATCAATGATTCTTAGAGTATAAAAATAAGGTGATATTCTTAAATAGGAGTACAAAAAATTTCCTTATGAGTAAAATGCTCGATCCCGAAACCATACTAAAATCATAAGACATCCATATGAGTAAATATGACAGTATTGTCGCCATATTTAAGAGATATTACTTACCCATGTTTAAGGGAATTGAAACATAGTTTTCCTATTTTCAAGAAATCACCTTTTTCTTTCAAAAAAAAAGAAATCACCTTTTTATACCCTTGTTTAGGAAGATTTCTTATGATTCTTCTAGTGCCTTTTCAATTTCAACATATTTACAACAACAACCTTCAAATGGGACAACTATACATTTTGTAGCTGCACAATGTTTTAAGCTCAAAACTATTTTTCTATATCACAGTAAGAGGCTGATAGCCGAACCCATGTATATATATATATATATTCCCAGCTCCATGCAAACGTATATTTGTACACGTATATGCCCAGCTCACATATGAACGTTGGTGGCTTTTATTATTTGAACCGTTAGTATTAATATTAAATACTAACGTTAGAATAGTAAAGGTTGTGATTTTACTCCCATGCACGTTCAACAACTTAAAGGCCGGCTCAACTTGAATGATATTTACGTTTGAAACTTTCCAAAGCAAATGAAACTTTAAAGAGTTTCAATATTTGGATAAATAAACATTCGTTAAAATTAATTTTCTACTATAATATAGGAAAATGTCTAATTTATTAATTAATAAAGTATTATTCATTTGAAATACTCTTATTTTTCCAACAATCCCCCACATATTTCAAAGGGATAAGGGTTAGATAGGGCCTCGAACTCGAAAAAAAAATGTCAAATAAGGTCATATTTCGGATGCTCTGTCTGGCCGACGCCATTTGGGGCGGTTCCCGATGGAATTTTTTGATGAAATTTTTTGAGCATCTTCCTAATTAAGTCTAGTTTACCCATACCAAATTTCAGCTAAAAATTCAACCGGGAAGGTAGTCAAATAATTTTCCGAAATGTACGGCGTTGTTTAACTTCACAGTTATCTTCAAAAACTCATTTGACTACCTTCCCGGTTGAGTTTTTAGCTGAAATTTGGTATGGGTAAACTAGACTTAATGAGGAAGATTCTCAAAAAATTTCATCAAAAAATTCCATCGGGAACCGCCCCAAATGACGTCGGCCAGACAGAGCATCCGAAATATGACCTTATTTGACATTTTTTTTCGAGTTCGAGGCCCTATCTGACCCTTATCCCTATTTCAAATGAATAAATTTTAGATTTTGAAAATAGTTTAGAAATTATCTGCTGGATTAAAGGAATGAGACTTTAAGTTCGGTGTCCGTAGACTTGAAACCAAACTGAGACGATTAAGTCTTAATAAACCGAGCTTATGGTGAAACCTATAGTTTCTTGAAAGCAACAAGCAACTATTGGTAAATCAGGGTCTTAACGGTCGTGTCTCACCCTGCACAATTTCTCGTTATTACGCCGTTGTGCGCCGTAAGGCCATGCGCGTGCTTGGTTTTCATGAGTGCTCTAGAAGTTTTGTCATGCTTCATGGAGGCGGCCCCACCTCACACTCATATAGGTGATATCATCAAGTGTGTACCGCTTTTGTACACCACCCTAAAAGTAAGAGTTATGATAATCATTAAGATCTTTTAGCTCATCCTCTCAAAGTATGCGGTTTCTAGCCTATATCTCACATCATGGAAATGGGCAATTTTAGTTATGCTAGCAGAATTGAATGGAAGACTTGTTAATACCCATTTGAACTTGCTTCATGGGATCTCCAATCACACAAGTTGGGTTCCCATCCCCATTTGTTTCAAGTGACACTAGTCCCATTTCCTTCGATGTTTCGGTTATAATTTTTCGTCCTAGGGATTCTGTCACAGGAGTAGTTAATTCCTTCTGACTTCACAAAATTAATGGAAATTATTCCATTCTCAAACATCATTGCACCACTATTAATTAAGGGTGAATGGATATCCACTATTTTAATTTATCTCATGTGAGTAATACTCAAATGTCATCGATGTATCCCGACCGGTAATGCAACGGATAATTCTCAATAAAATATATATCATCATTGTACCATTATAGTACAATGAATAATTCTCATATAACATCATTGTACAATTCTACAATGGTTATTTCTCAATAAAATGTATCATCGTTGTATTAATATATTACAACGTACAGATAATCTCAATCAGATATACCATTATTAATGGTACCTCTCAGATATCTCAATATTTTTTTAAGGTATCTCATCTATCCCATTTGGATTTCATGTATTGGCTCAATCTTCCGA